CTGTGTACACTACCTTACAGTGCTTTCATAGTAACATTTCTTTTCCTGTCTGTGTTTTTCTTGTTAAGAAGATTTTGTTTCGGATAGTCTTTTACAAAGTAAATTTGAGTTCATCTTGTGTGAACCCATTCTATTTTAAGAGGTCATGATTTACAATATGTTTAATCTACATTATGAGTAAATATTTTACATACTTTTTTATAATCTTCTGGCCCGGTGGTTCTGATGAAGAAAAAAAAATAAAATGTTTCTTTTATATCCCTTTCTAAACTTTGATTCCCCAACCCTATCCCCGGGGTTATGATTAACCTGTACAAAAAACCCAACTAAAATGTGATTAATATCTTTCTTTATCTTCTTTTTTATTAGAATGTTAAAGAGTAATTCCTGTATATCACTATGCATCTCTGATTCCCTATTTTGGAGCACCCTAGCATGAAGAGTTCTGATTTGAATTGTAAATTGAATCTACTATACCTTTGATGTCTCCACATCGGTTCTCCATCAGATTTTTAAAAATACCATTTAGTTTTCGCTTATTACTAATCATTTCAATTTCGAAGATTTCCTTTCACCCATTGATATTAAACGTAAGTTTGATATATTTTTTTAATTCGTAAACTGATTCTTGAGAATTCTATGATGTGCAATCTACAGATGGACGCCGAACGAAATTATTATCTGAAAAGCTCACTAAATATACATGTGTATGAGTAATAATAAAAAAAAGAAACCCGAAATACCATCATAATGTTGCATCGTTATATAACTGTCCCTTTGTATTAATTCACGGAAGCTAATAATTCACAGGCTACATGCATTGATTTTTTATGGGATAAAATAAGGGTTTCATAAATTCTAACTATGAGCAATATGATCAAATATCTGATCATACATCCAGGAAAAAAGTGAATCAAAAGCTAATTGACCGGTTTTTTTTTTATATCTCCTTTCTGCTTCCTGTTTAAAATGGCTCATGAAAGGAGTAAAAATAAATTTTTAGATTTGATTAATTCTAAGTTTGAATCTGATGGCATTTGTTCGAAGTATTATATTGATGAAGATTTATCACCTTGCTATCCATGTATGCGAAGCAAAATTAAACATAAAATATACATAGATATTTAATTAAACTTATCATACTTAAAACTGCTTTAAGAAAACAAAGAAATTTATGAAAACAAGCAGAGGTAACACTTCCCATGCATACTCTGGCTGCCTATTTTTGGACCACCCTACCATGAAGGATCTTGATTTGAAAATTTTGAATCTACTATACCTTTGATGGCTCAACATCGGTTCTCCATCAGAAGATTTTTAAAAATACCATTTAATTTTCGCATATTACTGATCATTCAAGCTTCGAAGAATTCCTTTCACCCATTGATATTTACCGTAAATTTTAATTTTTTAATTGGTAAATTGATTCTTGAGAATCTATGATGTGCAGAGTCTACAGATGGACGCCGAACAAAATTTTGATCTGAAAAGCTCACTAAATTTAATAAAAAGAAGAAACCCGAAATACAATCTTAATGTTGCATCAAAACTGCTCCTTTGTATAACACTCATGGAAGCTAATAATTCACAGGCTACATGCATTAATTTTATAGGGGATAAAATAACGGTTGTTTAAATTCTTACTTTGAGCAAAATGATCAAATATCCGATCATTCATCCAGGAAAAAAGTGAATTCAGAAGCTAAGTAATCGGGGTTTTTTTATATCTCCTTTCTGCTTCCTGTTTAAAATGGCTCATAAAAGGAGTAAAAATAAATTTTTAGAATAGAATAATTCTAAGTTTGAATCTGATGTCATTTGTGCGAGGAATTATATTGAAGATTTATCACCTTGCTATTCATGTATGAGAAGCAAAATTATGCATAAATAATGTATATATTTAATAAAATTTATCAAAACTTATTCAAAAAAGGAATTTATGAAAACAAGCAGAGGCAAATCTTCTACAACTTTACAATGTAATTAAAAGCATATTTCATTGTCCATTCTACATTTACATCATACAAACCTTTTCAGGTTTTTTCAGTGTCTGATATAATTTATTTTGTTAACATATGTATACACAGTAATATAACTTAAGATTAACTCCCATTATCATGCCAAAAATGTGCAATTTACGGCGCAAGATTATTTGCACACTTTTTGGGTGAATTTCTACTTTTCTCAACTTGGGTAAATCATCTACCTTTCATCCCCTTATTCCAGACATATAGAGACGACTATATAGGGTTGTTAAGTATTTAGAATATACAGATTAACGATTTATTTCAAAATTTGTTTCAAATTATGCAGGTAAAGAGAGACGATTCACCAATGTCGGAAAGTGGAAAATTCTCCAAAAGTTTTCGCAAATATTCTTGCGCCGTAAATTGCATATTTTTTGCATTATTGGATCTGTAGCATTATGGTAAAATACTAAATATATAAAACCATAACGCTACAGTTCTGCAGCTTGTTGTAGGTATCATTTATTTGTTGCTACTTAAGTAATATCCCTGTTGCTACAATCAATTTTCATTTAGAGTAAGATACGAAGAATTGATTTATGCAACAAAAAAGGTTATCATTAATTTTGTTAATCACTTGTACGGAAATTGATGTGTCAAACACGTGATTCACATTCATTTTTCTTTATCGTGCGATATTCAGTCAATCATTGTCATTTTTGAAAGAAAGGAGGGAGGCAACCTTTAGGACATATGCATTGTAGTATGAATTTTTTTGTCTTTTTTCCATGGAGTTGAAAAGTTCCAATTCTCAAAAGAACTGTGTCCAATTTTTAAAGTCTGTATATGGTGTTGAACACTTCTTCTAAAACAATATTTGATGAAAGACACATCTAGAACATATGTTTGGTATTTTTCAGATATTTTTATTAGAATCCTTAAGAAATCATGTCAATTGATATCTTTCAAACCACCATGGTATTGCATTTCTCCTTAAATAGAATTGACAACTTGCCTGCAAACACCTTCACAAGCAAAGAAAAAAGTATTCGGAAAATAAATATACTATTCCTTTTGAAACCTAAATTATGTATGCATTTCCGATCTTACAACAAAAAGTGTATGTATGTGTGTGTCGGGGGGTGGGGGGTGGGGAGGGGGCTAACAGAATCAATAAACTATCAATAAACACAGGTTTAGATCTGTTATCATATTACCTGATTTAACACTCCTCGCAAATTGAATGAAATGATATGCTTAGTTTTCAACTAGAAACTTAATCTACCTTTGAACAAGTCCATTTTGTCCTGATGCAATCAATCAAGCCTTAATTTAGACAGCATTAACTTTTTTCAACATTAAGTAGAAATAAAGATTGCTACGATAAATTATTGCGCATTAAGTTGGTCAAATGTCTAGATCTTTTTATGTACATTAATTTTAATATCTTACCATTTTATTATTCCCTTTTTGAAACAAATGTCTCAAGCATTTTATCATTTTTAAAGAAAAAAGATGTCAAACATTTCTACCTCGAAAAAACTGTTTTTCATTTGTGTAAAAAAAATCCACTACTGTTGTTTTCCGTGTAATATTATTAGAATACAAACTAAAACATCTTTACATTAATCAGGAAGTCAGGATTTTATTTTAATAACTGGTAAAAACAGAAGTACCGAGGGATACTGGCAGATATCCTTTCTAGTGACAGGGTAAAACATTTCCAAGGAAGTATCTAAATATATATCATCAAGATGTTAGGTTTTTCGTTATCTGAATAAATGCAGAATTTCTACACAAACTTATGTTGTTCACCTAATACAAGTAACAAAAGTCACATATTTCATAATGCTTTTGATGTTCTTCCTTGATTTTTTTTTTAACATTCAAAAATTTACTTGTGCATGAAGCCTACAGATAGAGACCTGCTCCGTGTCTCGAAGATATTGGAACAATTCTTGTTCTCGTTCATAAACCTCTTGATTGTTGTATCCCCATATACCAGGCATTCAAAATGGAAGTCATTTATCTGTCCAATATATCCTAAATAAATTAACGAGCTATTGACAGACCGGAGAGCTACAGTGCCAGCCATTGAAAAAAAATGCAAATTTATTGCGCACAAAAAAGTGAGCTCGGTTCTGGATTTCTTCTCTAAATTCTTATCTCAATTGCAAAAAAGCTAGATTAAATTTAATTTGTTACACAGCCAATTGTGCCTAACGTTAATTTAGTGTTAATCTCAATTAACATTAAATTAACGTTAGCTTGATGTTAGTTTAATGTTACTTTCGTGTGAAGTTAACATTAAAAAACTTAACATTAAATTAACGTTAGTTTTTAACGTTAATTTAACTTAACATTAATTTCATGTTAATTTTTAACGTTAATTTAACTTAACATTAATTTCATGTTAATTTTTAACATTAAATTAACATTAAAATTTTAAAAATAGCTTGGGTTATGTCTTTAAAAACTAGAACCCAAAATATTAACATTAGATTAACGTTAATTAGTTAATGTTAATTTCATGTTAATGTGAATTTAACGTTAATTCTTTAATGTTAATTTCATGTTAATTAGAATAACACGAGATTATAATGTTATTATTCAAATTTTAGACCTAATTTTAAACAATACTTGCCAATCATTTTAGTGACATTTAATTAATTATTAAGACGTTCATATGTGGATACTCAAAACCGCCGGGGGTTGGGGGTTGGCGGTGGAGGGGGGGGGGTCGGAAATAAATTTTTAACCCCAATATATAAAGATAACAGTTGTGTTAGTATTATACCATAGGTTCAAAAAGTATTTCCGACACAAGTGCCTTTGTGTTTGAGTAGGGTGTGGGAAAGGGGGGTGCTTTAACTGTTAGCACCCTTTTCACCTCGTCCATTTTTTTTATACATTCTTACAAAAAGTAATTTATCTATACTTAAATTATAAGCTCTATGTCTATCTTTCAAAATGTCAACTTGGAGTTGAATTTTTTTCCGGCTAAAAATGGTCCGTAGCTTTTCTCAGGATTGGTTTTGTTTTTATCGGACGAAACTGTACGTCATGATTGACGTCATCGGCTGTAACAGAAATTGAAAACACAGCTCAGAGGAAAAAGGATTTATCAAGTCTCTGTTAAAAGTAAGTATTTTGTAGTCTTTGTAATATTACGTTTTTGAGAGTTTTATAATTTCAGAGGTCCCTAAATGTTTGAACTTTATGTACAGCAACATAACGCATAATTACTCAACAGTCCTTGCAGGCTATCTGTATCTGTATGTTTAAATTGATACGTTGTAGTATTTTTTTTTCATTAGTATTTACGGTCGTAGGCTGTAATTGCCTGTGAACGACGTGCCAGATCTCTGCTATGTTGGTTATTTGTATATCAGCATTACTATTTTTATTAGGTCTATTTATTGTTCAGTTGGTTAAATTTGTTTGAACACTGAAGCCTACTGGTACAGCTGTATACTGCCGCCCTACGTACGATACGGAGAAAATTTGAAAGTGAAAGTAGAAATTGTGTACAAGTTAACAATAGCAATAAGTTGAAGTTAAACACGCAATGTGAGCGATGTTTTCCCTGATTCTAACAGTTCATCTTCATTGGTTTCATCATTACCGAGAAAAAAAACCGATTTGATATTTATTTTTATTGTATTTTAAACAGCTGGAACTCGGTATCACATCTGACTCGCACTTCTGAAATGGATCAAATCGGACTTTGTCGTCGAGACTCGGAAGAACCCAGCTGCCTCAATGATAATGCCAGTGGAACTCAAAACAGGTATTGAAAGTGGAACAAAATGTAAACAATTCCCATAGTAACTGTAATGACAGTGAAATTTACATTCACATACCCCAACTGATTTTTTAAAGTACCAATTAATTACTTGTCACTTCTTGACACTTGTCAATATTTTGTTCAGAAACACTTTATAAGCATTATTTCTTTTACTGCATAATACAGAAAAGATACTTGTATGCAAGACATGGAGAAAAGAGAAGACTTGGTGCCTCCATGAATTGATGTTTTTAGGATAACCATGGAGGATATCCGAGGAATAAAGGTTATTTATAAAATAGTATATACATAGTGTATTCATAATTTTCATTTAGAAAAATTTGATAAATTGATCTAGAGTTTATGCTAAAGAGACAAATTTAAAGCCAAGTTGCTTTCACTGTACTAAAAGTTTGCTTTGAATCAGACACTGCACATAAAATTTGGTTTCTGTCTATGAGTATCGTATATGTTGAAGATATTACATTTCAAATAAATGATCTTTAATTATTTTTTTTTATAATTGTAGGTTAACTCGGTATAAAGTCTTGCTGACATGAACATGATAATCACAAGAAAGTGAATATATTTCATCACCTTAAGCAATCTTCAAAATACCAGGTAAAAAGCATTTATTTTGAACACATACTGTATATCAAATATTTAAACCCATTTAATATGTCAACCCTAAATTTTTTTTTAAAGTATAATGGAAACACAATGTCTGTTTGCCAGTCTCTCTGTATACTATAGTAATATATATGGAAGTATATAGATTTTAAATACTAGTAGCTTTTTAGTTCACCTGAGCCGAAAGCTCAAGTGAACTTTTCAGATCACATTTTGTTCGGCGTCTGTCTGTCCATCTGTTAACTTTTCACATTTTCAACTTCTGCTCAAGAACCACTGGGCCAGGAAAGATGGAACTTAAATGGAAGCATCCTCAGATAGTGTACTTCAAGCCTCTTCAACTTGGGGGGGGGGCACAATGGACTTTTAGTCTTACTTAAGAAATAAGGTATTTTTAAACATCTATCCAGACATAAATATCGGTTGGTCATGACTTACAAGATTAAATTCCATAAAGCCTGAAGGGCTTTAAAATGAATTTAATCTCATACCAACCCGTATTTATAGTCCGTTGGATGTTTTAAAATGATACCTTATTACTTATATTTTCAATTGCGACTTATTCATACTTTATATTTGCCTGATCACGCTGTTTGTGGCTTTTAACATGCAAAATGCATTATTTTTCAAAACCAGTGGCATGTATACAAGACACTGAATGCGTGTCGACCCTTTATGACGTCACTGTGAAATTCCGTTGAACATTTATTGATACGCATATCTATGACCTCTTGTCCCCTGTAGTGTAGATTCAAATTTGTTCCCAAGTTTTACATAGGAATGCATAGGAAAAACCTTTTTAAAATCTTCTCCAAACTTATGTGGAATCATCCTCATGTAGTGTAGATTCAAGTTTGATCAAATCATAGGATGGGGCCACAATGGCCGACCAAAATTTTACATAGGAATGCATAGGAAAAAACTTTTAAAAATCTTGTTCAGAATCATTAGGACAGGAATGATTAATCTCATGACGTGATTTGGAAGCATCCATAGATACTAAATGTAGATTCACTTTGTTCAAATCATGACCCCCGGGGTTAAGGTGTGGCCACAATGAGGGATCACAGACTTGCATAAGAACTTATAGGAAAAAGAATCTTCTCCAGAACAGAAAAAAATTGTTTTGTTAAATTGACATGATCTGCAAGTAGTAAAAATTTAAATTTATTCAAATAATGCCCCATGGATTGGGGGTTAGCGAGGGGTCACAATGGGAGATCAGGTGATGTGTTGGAAAAATCTTTAAAAATCTTTTTTTTTCAAGTATGGCAAAATAATATATGTATGCTGTATTGTAATAGTGACATTTTCAAGTAATAGAAAATTCAAATCCCCCTCCCCCAATAAGTATAAAGTATTAAGCTTCTCAATACTTAACTGATCTGTGTTTTTAGCTAGCCCATGTGCTCAGGTGAGGGATGTGGCCAATGGACCTCTTGTTTCATTCATTATATTTTAGACAAATTTGAGTTGTTAATGTATTGCTGAAGTATTTTATTTTCATATAGTTATTATAATATATGTGTTTGCCTCTCTTCTTTTTCAGATTGGAAAAAGAAAGAAGATTTGTAGCATTGTATTGAATATATGCCTGATTAAAAGTGTTAATGGATGAATTGGTGTTTTTCTCTTTTCTTCAGAAAATTTGAAATCAGGCAAAGGCAAAGCTCAGAGTTTTAGAGATTTTGTTGAAAGAGCAGATGGGTCCCTTTATCCTTTTGGATATACTCAAATTGAAAAGAAAGTGACACCAGGGATGAAGTCAACATGCAAGCCTAGCTTTCTGCAGTGCTACAAGGAAAAGTGCAAAATTGATGAGCTTCTGGTGTACCTTTAGAGAAATAATTATGATTACATGTACTCTCAGTTAAGCTTCTGCTATGATGCAAGAACATATATTTTTCTTGAAGAATAGGAAGGAAAATTCCAAAAATATGCACACAATTTTTATGAATTTTAACGTTAAATTAGTGTGAACTAATTAACGTTAATTTAACGCTTAACGTTAATTTAACATGAAAATAACGTTAATTTAACGTTAAGTTTTTAACGTTTAATTCATGTATAAGCTCGATTGACGTTAAAATAACGTTAAATAACTAACGTTAATTTAACGTAATTTCAACATTAAATTAAAGTTAGGCACAACCGGCTGTGTACTCCTCTATTAAGAACTCTAAGAGTTGACATTTGTACGAAGCGCGTTAGACCGAATTATCTTGCAAACCAAAATGGCAGATTAAATTAGTGAAATTTAAAATAAGTAAAGGTTATGTTTAGAACTGTTTTTTAATACCTGATTAAATTTTCCTCGCGAATTGAATGTAATTATATTGTAAGTTTTCAAATAGAAACTTTAACCCGCTTAGAATAGGTCTTTTTTGCTCTGATGCAAATAATCAAGTCTTTCGACATCATTAACTTAGCTTTTTTTTACATTTAGTAGAAATAATAGTAGCTTCGATAGTTTATCGCGCATCAAGTTGTTCAAATATTCAATTCCTTTAATGTACACTATTTTTATTCTTTATCAATTTATTCTTAATTTTTTCAAGCAAATGTGTCAAGCATTTAATTTTTCTTTTTAAAGTAAAAAGATTTTTACACACATCTTCCATGAAATTTTTTTTTCAATTTTCCTTGTAAATAAATTCATTACTGTTGTATTCTGAGTAATATTATAAAATACATAATAAAACATCTTAACATTAATCAGGAAGTCAGGATTTTATTTTTATAACTGATAAAACAGAAGTACTAGGGGGTACTGGTAGAGAATTTCTCTAGTTTTCTAGTGACAGAAAAGGAAGAAAATAAGTCACAGTATCTATATATTTATCATCAAAATGTTAGGTTTTTCGTAACTTAAAATAAATGCAGGATTTCTATACAAACGTATATTGTTCACCTTATTAACAAAAGCCACATAAATATTATGCTATTCATGTTCTTCCTTGTTGAATTTGTTTTGAACATTTAAAACTTCCTTTGTGCATGTAGTCTACTGATAGAGATGTGCTACATGTCTCGGAGATATTGGAACAATTTCGTTCTCGGCCGAAACCTTTTGATTGTTGTAACTCTGTATACCAGGCATTCGAAATGGAAGTCTTGTCTTATATGTCCTAAATATCTAAATATTTTAACAAGCCTTTGTGCTAAACAGAATCCTTACAGCGATACGGTCTCTTGCGTCTAACATATGTCAAACTTTCTGGAACCTGAAAGTTGATTTAATCTTATAAGTTTCTTATCCTTCTTTCTGTTTTAATTCTCTTGTCAGAATTTAAACTCTTTAAAAGTATCCGTTTGACGATATTTCTGACAATTTTTATTTTAACACATTATTACGATTAGAAATTTTTCAGAAATATATATAAGTATATTTCAATTCTAACATATTTAAAACATATACTAGATTGCTATGAAATCGGCGTTTCTGATTAGTTGAATAACTTCAGGTTGATCGCGGGTTGCATGCTGTCAGTCTGAAAAAAAACATATGCTGAAAAATTGTAAAATCCTTTGGTTTCATATATCTCTTCCTGAATTTTTTTAGATTTGTCTGCGTGGTGATGTTCTAAAAGTATTTCGAATGCACTCTGTTGATGAGAAAATGTGCAGCTATTTTTCAATGAATTATATAAAGTAAGATGTGCCAACGCATATCAAAAACTTGCTCATGATAGTAAAATTAAGCAGACGAATTTATTATAACTCAAAACAAGGATAGTCTAATGTATATACAGAATAGATCTACTTTTTAAAAACAGTTTATTATTTTAGTTCTCGCTCAATTTCTCGGAGAAATATCTGACACATACAAGTGCTGCTGTGCCATAGGGGGTTATAAAACACCGATTCTGATATAAATCTTAAAAAAATCAATTACCTTTTAAAACTAAAATTATTGGTTCATTTATTTTTTTTTTAATTATATATTTGCAGTTGTGGTTTATATTGGCTCTATAAAAAGGGGGAAATCATACTCTGAAAAAAGAAGGGTGAATTTAGCTCCGGTGTGAGATTTCCCTACAGGGGAAATCCTACTCTAGGTTATGATTTCAGGGGGGAGGCTTGCTATGGAAGAAATACTAATATTCCATGAAGGTTTTGGAGGCATGAAGTCAATAATGACTTGACAAGGTAGAGGCAGACAAGTACTGTAGTTGTCAAAGCTTAATATTCAGGTTTTAAAAAATAATGCACTTGAAGGTTAAGAAAGGTTAAAAGTTAATAATTTTAAAAACAAAACTGGCCTGGGGAGAACATATGGTTTTCATGGACGAGGAATTTTTTCATGTATACCTCACTATCATGCAAAATTGTATAATGTAGATTATGTATGTTATTTAAAAAGTTTCACGGGTTATCAAAATGGTCAATTACATATCTGATTGTAGAGCGTTGTATTTTTACTTCCGATTATGTATATTAGATTCGAAATTTGGAAACGATTTGTAAAAGCCTTACACTAAATAGCTTAAAACATTCCTGAAAAATCTACCAGTATAAACTCATTTCTTTTTCTTGTTTTCATTCTAAAACACATACCAACTCAAGAAAATTAAATTGATCAAATATCCAAACTCGTATAGTACTATATCAATAATTAGTTTCAAACATACTTCGGACAAATTTCTGTCGAGCATTCTATTCCTATAAAGAAAAACCTGATGATTGATTTTTTTTTACTTCTCTTTCGAGAAGCCTTTCAATTATATTGATATAAAGACGTAGAATTACCCGTGTTCTATAATTCAACTCCGTATGAGATATTTTATTTATATTTCATGCTGTGTAATACAGATCTAAAATATATTCACAATTCCCGTTACTCCGGAAGTCATATTTTTTAATATTAAATTTGTACATTAATAGCTGTTTTTAACTGATGTACTAAGGGACAAATGTACTTAGTTCCATTTTGTGACTCTTTGAAAAGCATCAAATGTATCAATTTGTAAATAAAAGTCATCAATATATTTTAAAAGGTGATTTTACTCACAATATATGCAAGAATTATACGAGGGTCATTCAAAAATACGTAGACAATATTTTAATCATCCTATTATCATTAAAAGATTATAGATCAACATATTTTCGTGAATAAAAACATTTTTTTTTAGTCGAAGTGTGAATTTTATACCATTTTATTAAAAAGAATACAAGTCAGCCAATTTTTAAAGCAAAATGCTTTGTTAGTTACCACGGAGTACGATTAACCAACATTGTAACGTCAAAAACATCGTCGGAACGTTTCTCAAAATTACTCTGCTTTTCAATTTCATACACTGTCTGTATTGTCTACTCCATTTTAAAAAAAACATATCCATAATATTTGACATCTAGTTAATAACATTTGTGCAAATAGTTTTAATCAGATCGTCCACTTTTTCAAATTCTTTACCGCGTAATTCTATTAGTTCCGCAATGGTGAGTCCTTTGAAAAGATTTTTAATTATAACCTATTCTTAGCAGACTACCTGTCGTCCGATTCATAATTGCTTTACTCAAAATTATACTTTCTATTTAATACAAATACACAGCTTATTTTTCATACACTTCCTAGTATATACAGAATTTTGAAAAAAAATGTTTTAAAAAAGTATTATTGGTACTCGCTGCTCCGTGGCGTCCTCCAACGTCATGATTTTTTTCCTTTTTAAGTCCATATGTATTTAGAAACTGATATCTTTTGAACGGAGCGATATATTACGCTACCTAATAGCATTTTACGTAATACAGCAAAACTTAATTTTCTTTTTTTTATCATTTCAGCTTCATTTATTAGAGATGTGGATATATACACTTTTTATAAATATGAAGAAATTTGTACATATTGGATGTTGCAAAATGGTTTGTATTCGTCCAGCTTTCTTGGGAATCGGTGATTGGCCACAACATCAGTGTCTTGAATTTTCACCCCTACTTCTGCTAAGGCATTATTAACAATTTTCAATGGATTTTATCCCTGGGTCTCAAGGAGACCTGAATTTGATATTAATGTTTCTGCAAATATTGCTCGTTTTGGTAAGCCTTTCACAGAGCAGCTTTATCAACATTTCATTCCCCTCAACTCAGGTCGTTTGTGCAAATCCTTTAACGCTCCATTGCTCTTGTTAAGATTACGTTTTTTACTCCATTATCTGCTTTAACATTTTCTTTACTCTCTTTCAACTGTCTATCTTATTGTTTTAAGTTATCAGTTTTATAATTCAGCTTTTAAGAATCATTTTTTATGAGCTCCTTCACTTCGTCAGCTTTCAAAGTTTTATTTAAATCACTTTTTATTTCTTTTGATTAAATTTAGATCCGTTTACACTCATCCTCACCTTCTTTTGTTGATGTTTTCAATACTGGACTTAGCTTTGAGCTAGATTTATTTGGTTTTTTGTCCCTGTGCTCATATTTCGTGTGAGGACACCTGCCTGACTAGTTGACATTGTCTATTTTTAGTTACAACTCTCATTACATACGGCAGACACAATTCAAAACTTACAAACACTTTTGAACAAGCATGCAAATGAAATTTGTACGTTTGCAATAGTCCAGCAGTGACAAAGGAAGCCTTCAAAACTGTTTAG